TTAATCTTGTAAGAACTTGGTTTTCTTTATTAACATTAAATAGTATAAAATAAAAATTTTTTTTTTACATTTCTCCATGAAAAGGCATAAAGATTTTTAAAAAACACTTTTAACTAAGTATATAGAATAACTTATTGATTTAACAAGGTACCTTGATGTGTGACTTGTTTGAACAACCTAGTATTGCGCCTTGAAGTTGGTAGAGTTCATAAACTTTACTTCTGTCTCCGATTCATTTTTTCATAATTTCTCTCTATGACAAATATCTTAGTAAAACTCTCTATGACGAACATCTTAGTAAACACTCTCTATGACGAACATCTTAGTAAACACTCTCTATGACGAACATCTTAGTAAACACTCTCTATCCATAACAAACAAATTACATACAGAGATGGAGGGTTGGTTGTATGGAGAGTGAACTATATATATACTACTAATATAAAAAATTTTTTTGTCAAAAGATTGTTGAATTTATTTATTTAAAATATATATCCTCTCCATGTATAAAATTAATTTTACATTACGACCAACCTTTAATGTTAAAGTATGCACATGAAGTGTATGTTTGTAGTAGTAAGCCACCTATTATTTATTGTCCGGTAAGATACTTTATATATAATTTCTATTTATTTTATTTTTTTTTTTTGAGGATTCTGCCATCTTTAACATAAAAAAAAATTTTAATTTTTAATAACGTATGTATAAATTACTTATATTATTTATATTACTTATATTACTGCTTTACCTGTTCATTATTCACTCACTACTTATGATTATTATAATGGTTTTAATTTCATTATCACTTGTAGAATTTTAACTACAAGAAGTAAAATGTCATTTAATATTAATATATCTTTTATTTATTTAATATAGTGTCTAAAAGTCATTTTTGCTACAAATTTGACAAAACTCAGAAAAACATAAAGGTATTTGCCTTGTGAACTCAACTTTGGTGGATCGGCTGCTTCAAAACACTTGTGTATAAAGTTTTATATGTAAAGTTTGATTTTTTACTATGAAATGCGCATCATTTTTAATTTTTAAGGCGTGACAGTTTTGGATTCACAAGATCTATATGTGTAACATCGAGTTGTCCCCCCCATTTATTTACTTACCCCTAGCTAATACTAAATCCTATTCTAAACTAGTTTCAGTAATTTATTCAATATGACAAATGATTGTAAATATGGTTTACGTATCCAATTGATGTTAATTATTATTACTATTATTATATTTATTTACTATTACGGGTTGTGTGGGTCACATGATATTTGAACTTCCTGCATTGAATTTTGATTTTTTTATTTCATAATAGCAAAAGCATAAGTTTGGATTCGAAATGTTTAAGAAAATATTATCGAAATTATTCTATTTCGTCATTGTACAATTGTAGTGAAGTTAATAACCTCATTTATCAAAACAACTGCTCTTGATAAATCACGAGCCTTCTATTTAAATTTTAATTTAATTCATGCTTAATAGAATCAGCTCTCTATTAAACTTGATGTTTATATCCACAACCCTGCCGTATCTGTATCAACTATTCTATATCAAAAAATATTCATTAATCTGAAATTTCTATGTTAACTAATAGGACTCGCATTCTCTTTAAATTTCCAGTATTAATTATAACATTGACTTTCCACTACCAGTTCTGCCATTAATAGTGTTGTTCTTAAGGCACAAGCCTCATTGTTTTTGTCAACAGTACTTGAGTTGTATTTGAAGATACAGAAATCCGTTTTCGTTTCAGACATGTAATCTGCTATTCTTTTATTCACTTTTTCAATGTTTTTTGGTAAATAAATTTCATTACAATCTTTTAGATGATCTAATATTCTTGCTCGCGAATCTGCTCTAGAAGCTTGGCCCACTTCTTTATAATAACCAGTTAATGGTGGATTATCTACATAAATAACCTTTTTACATGTTTTGACTATGTGAGAAAGACTATCATTTTCTTCAATGATGTTCTTAATATCCTTCATACACATATCATAATCATTAAAATCAGGAAAATTTGTTCTAACAATAGAAGTGAATTTAACAACATCTTTATCAAAAACAACTTCTCTCAATAAATCATAGGCTTTAATTTCTTCTTCTGTAAAGCGCCCATTGGCAACAAACAAAATTTGATACAATCCTAATTGAATACGATCAGCTGCCTCTGCTAATTTATTTAAAACTTGCTGGTCTGTCAATTTTGTATCACCAATTCCGACTGTATCAACTATTCTATAAGATTTTCCATTGATTAAATAATCTTTAATTTCTTATTCTTTAGTTTCGCTAATAGAGCCTGAACTTTCTTTAAAATCATCGGTACCAGTTATCACATTTGCCAAAGTAGACTTTCCACTGCCAGTTCTGCCAATTAATAAGATTGTTCTTAAAGCATAAGTTTCATCGTTTTTTGTTCGTTGTTCTTGAGCTATAGTTGAAGGTTCTGATTCTTTTTCTTCAATATGCGTAATTGTCATTTTTATTTTTAAGAAAAAATTTTTTTATAAATTTTTATTACCATATTTACCATAATAATAAAACAATATATGCAACATTACCCAAAATCATGTCATCCGGTTTGGGGAGGGGGGTTATAAGCTTTCAACGTTACATGTAATATGATCCAATGAATTCTTTTTCATTTTATCAAAATTTTGGGGAGGAGGGGGTATGAGTTTATATCAAAGCGAAATGATGTCGTTTTGGGCACTCCCCTAAATATTCGATAAAAATTAATACACAATCTTAATTTTCACATAAAACGCCTGCTTAAGCATAGAGACTATTGGTAGTGTTAATCCTTGAGTTTTAAGAACCGTAAGTGCGAAAACATTTTGTAATGGTGCCAGCATCCTTTGACACAATAATGTCAACCATGCTATTACGAATGCAAAAAAACAACCCTAACAGTATCATGACTAAATCTTTGTACAAATGTGGTTTATATTCCATGACATTGGTCTTCACAAGATTAGCAACCAATTTTTTCATCACCATCCATAATTTTCCAAGACGCAATTCTTCTGCAGCTCATCATCTCATTTAATTCCTTACATTAAAAAATCCTTGCCAAATCAATAATACAATATATAAGATGTGATTAAATGCCAATTTATAGTCATTTTTATTGTCCTGTAAAACTTTGACGTTTAAACATAAAGTATTTTACATACTAGCAATTTTTTGTGTTTTTCAGAGTATCTTCTCTTTGTTTGATATCGTCTATGTAATTCTTTTTGTTTTTCACATGGGTTGTCGACAAGCAGTATTTGAATTTGAGTCACAAGTAATGTCGCTGGAGGAGAAAGATGCTAAAAAGTGTCAAACAGATTTGTTTTAATATTAAAGAATTACCTTTCGTGCTTGTTTCTGTAAATCAATATAATTAGCATCCATGTCATCTTGGATTCTTTATGAAAACTAATTCCACCTGGATCAGAAACTACCTCTTCCACAGTTGTTCTTCCTGTTATAAAAAAAAATAACAAAATAAAACAAAATAAAAAGGGCTACAGGTCGCACCAAAATCTCAATGATAACCAATAAAATAGATTCAAGGAGATTAAAGCAAGACAAGGATCCCTCAATTGTAGCATATTAAAATTGAAAAAAGCCACATGCTACACTAAGATTTCTGCAGTATCCAATAAAATAGAATCAAGCAAAGAAAGCGACCCTTAAGCAATTACAATTAAAAAGAAGAAAACATGGGGAATGCTGGAAACCCTTTTTCCTTTAACTTGTTATCATTACAATATTTGTTGAACAGGGTAGTTTTTTCATACTCCATATACTCTAAATATGTTGAGGAACGAAAAGGATAAAAGGATAGCAGATAAAGTGAATCAACCAATAAAAATATTTTTTTCCTTTTTTTGCTTTTCAAGCTTTTAGCATGGTTGTATGAATAGATATGCGTTACACGCATTCAAAATTTTCTGTGTATATATGGAAAAAAAAACATTAATTTGAATATTGTATGTAGGAGTATGCAATGATCAACTTTATTTTTGTTGTTTGAACGTGCTATTTATCCTTTTTAATATTTTTCGCGTTTTTTATCTGAAAAAAGGGGCTGTCTTCATCTATTTTGAGAATATTATAAATTAAATCCGTGTTCGCTTCATTCGTTTCACTTCTTCCCTCAACAACTAATTATATATACAATAAATATTTTTTCCTTGAATAAAATATATATTAATATACATATAAAACATCATTTACTCTTGCATATTGCTTTGCTCATTTGAACTTATATATGATGGTTAGTCGTGACGACAGTAACAATAATGATAATGATAATCAAAACGATTGGGAACAATCAAATTTTTTAAATATGATAGACTTAATCCAAAATATAAATATGATATATCAACAATTCGTTGATCAAATCAAAGAAATTACCGAAATACAAAAACAGACTTTATCAGCAATTACATCAACAAATTCTCACCACTTACAATCACTTCTACAATCCCAACTACAATCCCAACTAGAATCGTTGCTAGAATCACATATGCAACTTCAATCACGACTTCAATCTCAATCTCAACTTCAATCTCAATCTCAACTTCAATCACAACTTCAATCACACGATGAACAACCAAGACAATCACACCTAGAGTTACAACTAGAATCGCAATTCCAACAACTTAGTTTGTCAGGACCATCATCATCATCATCAGATGGTTTTCCACAATTTTCTTCACAACCTGGCACTCATTATTTGTAATTCAAATGTTAAATTTTAAAATTAAAAAAAGTTCTTTTTTTGTTTGGCCGGGCCTTTTATTATTTCTTTGATCTGGCCGAGGGGCCTTTTATTATTTCTTTGGTCTGGCTAAGATGCTTTTAATTTTTTTTTGCTGCTGGAGGTCTTTTATTGTTTATTTCACAGAAAGTCTATCTTTCTTTTATTAGTGGCCACTGGGAGGCCTTTTCAATTCAAATTTGATAAAATTGTAAATATATAAATAAATAAATATTAAATATAATATTAATAAATAAATAAATAAATAAATAAATATAACAAAAAAAATTTTGAATTTAATATATAAATTATTTACACAAGTTGACAGTTCTATTTATAAAAATAAAAAAAATAAAAAATAAAAAAAAAATTATTTATAAAAAAATGTACATACGTATATACTAATATACTCTAAACCACATAAATCATATATGTATATATATTTATATATATCAATCAATCTATTTTTTTACATTGAAACCTTTGATAATTACAATTGGATTTAACGTTTCTTTTGGTTTTGTAATAACCTTATTACTACAACTATTAATATTATTGTTATTTTTAAAACCGTTGTTGTTAGCTACGTCGTTTCTTATGCCATTGGCACCAACGCCAACTTTTATTAATTCACCATCATTGTCTTTAACAATAAATCCATTGTTATTATTGCTATTATTACCATTGTCAATACAATAATTATCTTTATTGTCATAATTATCCAATTCTTCAAATACTTTAGAATTAAAGTCTATATGGAATAATTCAGTAATGTATCTTCTTGCAGGTAATTTGTATTGATAAATTGATAGCATTTGAATTACTTTGTAATAAGTTGTAAAATTGGTAAATATTTCTGGATTTCTGGATTTAATTCTAAATAAATAAATTAAAAAATTAATAGAATTTATTATTTATTCCTTAATGATGATAATATTAACAAGAACAATTACTTTGATAGACTGGTGGTCGATTCAATATTTGATAGAATGTGATTTGTTAGGTTAGAAACAGTTTTTAACAAGATTTTTTCAGTTTCAAACGACGGGATTGGTTTTTGCATAGCATTTTCTTGTAATATTACATCAGCTCCTTTATATTCCCATTTTGGAACCTTTAATCAGATAAATTATTTTAAATTATTTTCCTCCAAATGTAAATTAATTAATTAATAAACTTACGGTAAGGAATTTTTTGTAATCAATTGGTAGGCATAATCCAGTAAATAAATCTAAATCGGGATCGTAATTACTTTCCCATCCTAAATCTTTTAATATCTCAACGCCTTTTAAAGTTTTTGATATTAATCCTAAAACATAATAACATGTTCTAAATTTTTTTCAGAAGTTAGTTTTGTAATTTTTATTATATTAATTTCAATAATTAATTACCCTCTTAATGATAAAACATTTGAATTTTCAGCAATGTGAACAATTTCTTTAATAATATTTTCTTCGTCAAGAAATGTTAATCCATTCTTTGATGATCCAATATTTCCCTTTTTTAAAATAATAATAATAATAATAATAATATAATTATTTAATAAATTGGAAAAATTGAGTTCAATAAATCATTATTGTGATTTTTAATCTCCCTTCGTTTATTCATTCACTTCACTGCCCATTGCCCACAAACCTCCAACACGTTGATTTGTTAAATACTTACAACAGCCCAAAGAACTGATTTTAGTTTTTTAATTATTGGATAATTTGTATCTTCCATTCCATGATTTTTAATATAATTAGAAAATTCTGTAAAATGGCCTTTATCTCTTAGCATCTGACAGCCTTCAATTGTTTTAATTAGTTCCCCATAGAAATGAGGGGGGGTCAATCCATCAAGAGATTTACTAATTAATCAATTAATAGATAAATTATATAAATAATTATAATTATAATACAAAGTACATAATAAGTATATAATTACACATTGTTTTCATTCTTATCCAGTTTTAAAGATAACTTTAATTCCAACTGTATAACATAATAATGATTTTTCACCTGATTGAATATAGAAATCAAATCGTAATAATTAAATAAATTAGATTATTGATTCACAACTTCCAAGCCTCAATATAAATATAAATGTAAATATTACATTGAACCAATCAATCAATTCTCTCTCTAAATAATTAATTTCATAAAGATAATTGAATCCAATTGGAGTTGACAAGAATTTTAATAACAAGTTATTTCCAAATTCTCCTAAATGGTCTAAATATGGTCTATATTTAATCATCAGTTCTATGTTATCAATATTTCTATCGCATAATTCTTCTAGTATTTTTATGGCCATTTGACAAACTTCTATCATAGGATCATATAACTAATTAGAGAAAGATCGGTTAATTAGTAATTTAATTAGTGGATTGATAAATTACATTATTATTTAAATAGGTAACCTGGGTGATCAACAATTGAACCGCCCATTCTGTAAAATTTTTTTCGGTTTTTTTTAAAAGTATTCCCAAATAATTTGTCGAATATAATCTTACACGCTATTATCAGAAATAAAATTATTTAATTAAAATTGGAAATTAATAGTAATAGTTGTATTTATATTTGAAATATACTTTTGTTCCGGATGTCATAACTTTTGATAATATAATACGCGAATGACCATCACTATTAAAAATATTAATATCATTATAATTATTATTATTTATTATGGTTTATTTTATATAAAATCCTAGAATACTTGCATGCTATAATCTAGATTGTTAATTATTGATTTGATGATATCCTCACGTCCATTTAATTCACTCAATTGATAAAATGTATTTAATATTTTAAATTTTTCCAATAATCTAAACAATACATTTCCAAATAATTAATAAACGCAATTAAACAGATATATTTACTTATTAGATTACACATAATTTATTATTTAATTACCTGAGACCTTCTTTACATTTACAAAGTATTCCAATGATTTTAAAATATCCAAAGGTTAAAGTTTTATTAATTTGATCTTTTGAGAATAAAGGTTCCGACTCAGAAATCCCATTCATCGGAATCAATTGATTCAAGCAATCAGAAATATGCCTCAAAAACGACTTTTTCTCCAAATATTTGACACCATAACTATTATTTAACAATGTTGTCAAGAGCGTACACCCTACATCAACGTATTTCTTCTCATTCTCTTCTGATCGTACAATATCCGAGAATAGTCTTGAGTTGGGGCTTAGAAATACTAACAATGATTTGATGAAATTTATTTTAATGGATTCTTCTAATCTTCTTGGGTTTAATAATATTTTTTGTAATAATTCCATTATTGGCTTGACTTCCCATTTAGTGTAATCTTTTGTTGTCAATACTTGCGTCTCGATCAGCATATTTCTAAATTGATTATCGTCGATCTGTATTATTGAATTTTTGGAAACTTTTGAATTTGAACTTGAATGGTTTGAAGCTTTATTCTTGTCATTCTTATCATTATGATTATAATTGTGGTTGTGATTATTGTTATTGTTATGATTATGATTACTGTTGTTGTTTTTAATAGTGTTTGATCTAGTTGGACATTTATTCGAGTAATAAATATATGATAAAGCTTCCGTTGCAGCATTTCTTAGTATTTCATCATCAAACCTTGTCGCTAAGTCAAACAATTTTGACAGTGACTATCAATAAAAGTGTGAGGGAGATGGAATAAATTATTAATTTTGGATGTACTATGTATTTCTTCATAAACGCTTTAGTTAATGTATTTTTTATTCGTATTATACATTACTTGTATTTTAATAAATCTTGATGATGGCAGTAATTTACTTGATAATTTCAAAATTTCGCTAATGAATATAATTGATTTTCTTGTTAGCTCTTGATCCTGATTCTTCTC